ATTTCAAAATAGTTAGTCGCCCTTCTCCGAACACCACCGATGCAGGCCTGTATCTTGGGCTGAAACGTTGGTAATCAACAAATAATAAGTTCTACTTATTAGTGTGTTTTGCTTCTTAACCGAACTCCCCTATCCCTCTCCTACCAACTTTTCCTTAAATTAAATCTTCGATCAACTACACTCCATTACAGAGGTGACCAGAAGGGGTTTTTTGAGGAGGGTATATTTTTATGAGTTTTTGAATTTTTGAAGGTGCAAATTTCGACAGAGTTATGAATTTTCGGACTAAGGGACAAGGGGAAAAAAGGGAACAGACAGTAGCAAGTGTAATTGTATATGATCCATGATATTTCTAATTTTCCCTTGCTCTGTTTTCAAGAAAAGGTAACAAATAAAATATCTTTGGAGAAGGGAGGGAAGGAGGTAGGTTCTTGCGCCATCGAACTTGGGGAGGAGGCGACTGCTCCATTATGACCTAAAACAATAGCCGACTGGTATTTATATGACTAGTAAGAGAATTAAAATAAAGCTGCAGGACTGCTCAACTGTATTAAATTGCTAAATCATAAACCATACTTACCAGACCAACAGATATTATTAAAAACAAAACAAAAGATAGGGATGTGAATTTGTTCTTTCTTTCAGTCAATAGTATTGACTAAGCGAAAACAATCATTAATGTACAGGATAGGATGAAGGATTTCAAATGAGTCTAAAATAATAGTTTCTGCGATGTTCTTAGCTTCTACACCAAGCACCTCAAAGAAATTACTTGTAAAAGAGATGGTTTCCGTCACTTCAAACTAAACTATCTTAACTTCTCTCTAAACTCCTCTATTTACTTTTCCTTTAAGTAGAGTATGCGCTTCATATAGATATCCATTTGTTCTGCACATATCTTGAGGTCTTGTAGACTCCATCCCGTTCCGAGCCTTATAGTAGGATCAACTATCAGTACCTCCTTTCCTATCGCACTCAGAGCTATAATATTCCCGACACATCTTGTGCCATCTGTGTCAAGGCAATAAACTTCAAGGAAACTTCTATAACTTCGCATTCTGAGCAGTTAGGCTATTATTTCATTGTGTCATCGGTTTACAAGGAGCATTAGGTTAGGACATTTGTACAATAAATGATCTCGGGTTTCGAATTATATTCGAATTATCGGGTATTGAATTCGAATCCGTTTTCCTGGATAGGATGGGCATACTAGAGGAGAGATGAGCATACTTGACATTCGTCCATTCTAAGCCGCTGAGAACTTTTCAATCGTATATAAATTTATCAGTCCATTGATTTGACTTAAAATGGAGAAAAGCTATTCTCTATCGCTAACTCGATCACTTTTAAAGATAAAAGTACACAGTATGTACATTGTTGGAAATATAAATTATTTTTGTAATATCTCTTTTTGTTGAATTGATAAAACAATATATATTGAATCAGGATGAAACAGCTTCTTGAATAGCTTTTTGTTTGCCCCAAAGTCAGGAAGTTGACTAACCCAAGAAGCCTTAGTAGGCAAGTTGGGGATGGTTGTGGTTAAGGCTTTACCAAGCAACTGAAACAAAACTCCTATGTTTTTATAAATTAATATATTGTGAGATACAAATATTAAAAAAAAAAAACCTACAGATTATTATTTCATATGTATTTTATCATCACATCAACGAATGCGAATTATACCCAAGTAGGACAAAAGACGATATAGAAGGAGCAAGAAATATATCAGAGATAATACAGGCGACGAATTAATAGTTAGTTTTATTTTTAGGTTTTGTTTACAAGGTTGCTTTAAATAACATCAAAGTATGCAGGAGACAAACCAGCAGCCTATCTATAATGGAAGATTCGCTAAAGTAAACAATAACAAGTTGGAAAAAACATCATGTAACGAGTTTGTGGCGTGATTTAAAACGAAATTTGTAATGACGATACTTAAATATAAAAATAGGAGAAAAAACGCTGCAAATTATTTCACAAGGGTTTATTATTTCCAAACAATTATACATCTAAAGTAACATTACCTTCCGAGTTACAAAGAAAAAACAACAAAAGGTGATTCCAATTATTGGACTAAACTTCTTCTCTTTAATCATTAGAAATATGCTAAAAAAAAAATAGCATTAATTCAGTAACACATTCAAAATTTAAAAACCAAACCAAGGATATAACATTTGGAGTAGAACATATAAAAAAACCAGAGACCATATCTTTGCTCTTAATTGTCCGATTTTAACGATTTTTTTTTTAGTAAATTTCGTAAACTTTTAAAAAACTATATACAATATCAACAAAAAAGTATAAACTTTCCGAGTTATTCGGAATTTAATTTTACCATCCCTCGTAAATTTTTTTCCAGCTTCTTTTCGTTGAAGTATGTTATATAGATAAATGTAAAGGGCGTCGAGAAAATGACTTTAGCGTAGTTTCATTGAAATCTGTACATTCGTTTAGGAGCTACAGCCTATAGCAACGCAGGTTTTTCGGCCATCATTTTGAAAGCAAAAGGCGGATAGTAATATCGATGAAGGAGGATCATCCTCGGGTGACCTCTGATTTTATATCAAAATTTGAAAAAAAAATCGGTCCAGTAGTTTCGGAGAAAATGCGCGGACGGCGGACGGACAAAAAATTTTTATTCGTTTGTCGAATTCTACGGGTCCTAGAACGTGAAACCTCAAATTTTGAGAAGGGGTTAATTTTTTGAATTTTTTGGTCGATCACAATGGTTGATTATTGAAAATGCTATTATGTTAGCTCAACATAACAATTGTTGGCACGAATATAAATCAACATCAGAATCTGTTAAAAAAATAAATGAAATAAAATAAATAAAACCGGCCCAACAGTTAATAATCCGCATCCTACTCAAATTCAACAGATACGCTGGTTAGCCAGTCGGTATTGACTAGTGACTAACATAAAAGCACAAAAGGAGATAGAACTGCCGCTCGATTTCATCTATTCAACAAGTTCTTTAGCGAATAATTTATTTATTACAAAATTACTTTTAAAAACTCATCTTTATAACTATCATCAGACTTATTTGTACCCATAAATCTGTTCTTCGACACTCTAAGAAATAATCCAGTTTCTTACTTTCATTGCGAATTTTTATTATTGAAAATTTTATCAATAAAGCCTATATCTCAAGTGTATCCGTAACGATATCTCTTATGTAAGTGTTTTCGTCCGAAAGAGATGTTATCCTTATATGGTCGGTAGCCACACAATCATCGACTTCATAGCTTTCTTTTCCTTCCATTCCTGGAACTCTCGAAGTTCTGTGTTAAGATCATTGCCCTCCACTTGTCATACTCAATTATGTAATACTGAACTGGTTTATTAACTAATACTTTATTCTAAGGAATCCTAAATGTTGACGTGAGGCACGCAAGAACATCTCTTGCGCTCAGTAATATGATTTAAGTGAAAATTGTTGTTCTGAAGATACTTCAATTTCGTTGATTGATAGTTTGAAAATAATCTCTGAATCAAGGTTTTGTTTTTAAAAGTTTACAATCTAATTACTATACCTTTATCATGAAGAATCTGGCGTTCAGTACTTTATGAGTCCTGTTTCTAAACCAAAGGTAGTGATTTGACCAAGATAACTTTTAATCACCAGTATTGCCCACAATTAAGGGTAATCACTTCATAAAGACCAAGGAGGGTCTACTGAACAAAGGTTCGATCCTTCGATAATGTAACAATATAAATAATAATTTTCTTGTCATATTTTTTAGCTTCAGTGATATTTTATCATGTTTTTTATTTAATAGGTTTTAGGCCATAGGTCACCAATAAGTACAATAAAAACGTATTTTATTGGTGACCTGTGGCCTAAAATCAATTTTATAAATAATACCTGTTAAAGGCAGAATCCGACCCAAGAAATGAGGAGGAATATGCCTAATCTCCCTCATAATTATAATCAATATTTAATATTAATGATGAAGAGAAGAATAGTTGGGGTGATCAGTCAAATAAGAAGGCAAAAATAAATGATAATATTTATTTTGACATTTGCCGACGTTTCGACCTGAAGTTCAGGCCTTCATCAGGGCTAAGGAAAGAACCAGATAACAAGGTATGAGAAACATAAGTAGTGTAGGTAAAAAAGATTAAAGTAAAATGAAGTTGTTAGAATAATGACAATAGTAAGAACTAAGAGATAAATATTATTAACCGTTACAAAGTGTGGAATGATGAACTAAACATAATCAAAAAAGGTGACATAAAAAAAAAAAATGATTTCTAACTACTCTATATGATTCTATCTAACTACTCTATTCGCAATGTCTTAATTTTACTATTTATTTTCATATCTTATATAACTTCATATTCTTTTTTTTTTTTCTGTTTTACATTTTATTCTAAGATTCCCATTTTAATACTTATGTCACCTTTTTTGATTTATTATTATTTATCTCTTAGTTCTTGCTATTGTCATTATTATAACAACTTCATTTAACTTTAATTTTTTTTTACCTACACTACTTATGTTTCTCATACCTTGTTATCTGGTTCTTTTCTTAGCCCTGATGAAGACCTGAACTTCAGGTCGAAACGTCGGCAAATGTCAAAATAAATATTATCATTTATTTTTGCCTTCTTATTTGAATGATCACCCCAACTATTCTTCTCTTCATTATTCACGACAGTCAACCATTTTACCCACAATTTAATAATAATATTTATTCTAACCAAATAAAATTCTATATTTCAATTAAATATTTTAGATAAGTATTAAATATTTATAAATTTTAGGCTCTAATTTCGTGATAAAAAGCCGCAAAATTTAATAGTTCATAAGTGGAGAATTTTAAAGCTTATTATGATAACAATTAATTTACAATAAAAATAAGGAATCAGGAAAATACCGGAAAAAAACATAAAATTCAATAAAGCTATAGTTACCAATAAAGTACAGAATTATGATGAATGGCTTAGAAGGGTGAATGTACTTTTTATTTCTTTCGATTTCTGGCGAGTCTATGCCAGACAGTCGGGTGCCTCTATGCGATCAGGGGGAAGGAGTAGAGAGGGGTCCTTAGACGAATCAAAGGACGTCGAATATTAAATGTCATTTAGGTAGTATATTCATTTCAATAATAAAAATCAAAACTATATTATGATGGATTGATTACATTATAGATTGGAATTGTCTATTTACATTGATCTTAATACTTTTTTTGCGAAAGAATTGCGTAAAGAAAATCAGAAATGCTCAACGAAGTAAGTTAGTGTTAAAAAACCTATTCTAGAAATACCATTGTTTTTGTTTACATAGGAAAAATCTATTCAATTTTTAGAGAAAAAAAAAAGGTATATATCATAGGCGATTTCTAAAATTAATAAACAGTTGTTCACTTGCAGCATAAACAAGTTTTACTTCTATAAGATCAGCTGTTTTTTAAAAGAAAAAATCTCATTCTGAGAAGAAAATTAAGATTGTAATTTTTATTTTATTGTTATTATTCTTTTTTTTTTTTAAGTAATAACGAAGTCCCTCGACCAAGGAAGTTAAGAAAAAAAAATATTCAGACACTTTTGGTGTCATTTTTAAACGCTCCGCTTCTATTAATGCTGGGAAGCAAACCTTGTTATAATTTAACAAAGAAAAATGTTTCATTAGATAAAATAAAATGTACATTAATGTAATTAGATAAAATATTTATGGATTTAATCTTTAAGTGGACGTACAGTAAGCGAGTAAAGTATACCAATTTTGAATGTGAATATAGTGATATCATTCATAATGGTTGTAATAAATGTTTGACTTGACACGGCCTATGTCCAATTTTTTATTGCGTCATATGACTCATCTTAGAATTAATTTTAAAAAGAAAGACCCAAACAATCGAAAGCTGAATCATGCGTTTATTCCAATAATGTGATTGGTCAAGTTCCCGCTTTACTGAACATGTCTCGCTTGAGTCTCTGGAACCCACAGGCGATCTACAGCTCATAGTAAATAAATATTTTCTACAAATGAGCATAAATGCGTAAAAACATATTACAAATTTTAATACTTTGAATATAAATAAATATTTATAAATGGAAAAACTACTTAATAAAATAAAAAGTAATTTACGTTTCGGTGGAGAAAGCAAATACCAAATCCACAAAAAGAACTAAAATGTGGACAATTTTATTAAAAAAGTATGTATGTATGCATATATTTCTATTCATATCCTCTATTCTTGGTACTATAACTTAACTACCATTAGCAAAAGACCATTTGATAACAAATTTATTTATTTTATATTTCTAAAGACGACGCTTCGGCTAAAACAAGATTAAATGATCTTTTACTTGAGAATGACATATACATACATACACACACACACATACATATATATTTAAATGTTTATATACATGTACATAATATATAAATTTAACTAGTAATGGAATAACAGTTTTCATGAAGTTTCGTTTTGAACCATGTATTTAGTGTATTTTTTAAAATTAATTAATAGTTATAATAAACAAAAAAAGGTAAAAGTTTATACTCAGTCAATATTTAAATTCATTGCGGATCATATGATCCAGCATTGAAGGCAGGTATGCTATAGTCACGGGTCACAGGACGTAGCTATTCCCTCATTGGGCTTCTGCCTCCACTGAACGATCTATAGCTTGCATTGTATAGTAAAATTCAAAGAAAAAATGTATGCTATATTATGATAAAATAAATAAATGGCCAAAAATCTATTATTCGTCAATAAATTTAACTGTATATTTTGAATAAATAAATACATAACTCGCAAAAAAATACTAAAGACATAGTCATCAACTAAGAATTAACATAGATAGCACACAATTCATGCATTTGAGTGCGATTTTTTTTTTTTTATTTATTGACAACTTTTATTTTATTCATTATTCTTACAAATGACGCTAGATTTCCATAAATACTAACAAGACGGTTGATAAAAATTAGCAAAACATTGCTTACCACTTGTCCCATTGTGTGAACGTTAGCGACCTCTTACGACAGAGATGAACAGAAGCCGGAGCGGCAGTTCTCGTTCCGTCCTGTTGAAGAGTCCATGACGGCTCTGGGACAGACAGTCAGACACGGAGAGACTCAGGCAGACACAGACAGAGCGATGTCATTCACCAGAAGGAGCCGGGTGGTGGCATGGTGTCCCGCTCAACTGGATCAATACGCGGGCACACCGCTCGCTGCTGAAGCGCCACTGCCCCGGTTCTAGTCGACCCCATAGTCGACTCCTGCGCAACCCACCCTCCGAGGACGGCATCTGTCGTGACATGCTTCGGATCGAACGCTTCGAGGGTAAGGCAGTTCGTAACGGTTTTGAATGAAATTCGCGAAATATTATAAAGGTAATAAAAAAAGAAAAAAAAAAAGCTTAATGTAAAAAAGAAAACAAAGAATAGTCAAAATATCAATAGAGATGATGAATAGTTAACTTTGTAGATTTTAAATACTTGAATAATGGATAATTAACGATGTGCCTATAAAAATAGAACAATCACAATAATTAAATTTTTATTACAATCTTTTCCGACCAAAACATGTGCTCTCAAAAATATATTAGAGATATAAGATGAGAAAGTTGTATAAAAAAAAAAAAAAAGAAAGAAATATCAGTTAGTTACTTATGCTGATTGAAATAGTATGACTGGGCTTAAATACCGAAATTTCTTCATCTAAAATACGTAATTTTTTATTATTGAAAGCAATTAATGGTCTCTCATTTTCAGTTTTAATGATTCTCCTATACCCGTCACGTTGCATGGCCAACCTTACCTCTCTGTCTTCCAAGTCCCTCTAGGTTACTACATGTATGTAGTCCAGAGGCTTGTCTTTTCCCAACTGGATTAGCTTCCATAAATCATTTTACTTTTCCATCTTCCGGGAGTCTACTGACATTTTATGTCACGTTTTTGATTTTTTCGTTTAGTGACGTCACTAAAAGATGCCAAGTATCCAGGGTGACGCCAAGGTAGACGAGGTGAAGATTTTATGATCAGCTCCTCCAATAGTGAAGTGAGTGGGTGGAGCCATTTTTCCCTTTTGGAACGACATGACAATAGCATCAGTCTTTGCAGGGTTCACTCTGATACCGATCGCTAGTTCTTCAACAATTGTGACTGAAGCATTCTGTGCCAAAGTGAGTGCAGTCCCCGCGTTGACGTAGAAGGCATATACGCCGATGTCGTCCGCATAAGCTGCTATCACCGCCTTCGGATGCTTGAGTGCCACAACTGGCACCGTGAAAACGACGAACAGTATTGGCTCCAACACAGGCACTTGAGGGATTCCGCAGGTGGTATCGACTGGGGTTGGGTAGTCTGTACCAACTCGTACGACGAGAGATCTGAACTCTGAAGTAATCTGAACTCTTTCAGACGGCGAAGTAGATGCGTGTGGGACACGCAGTCAAAGGCCTGCCTGCAGTCCAGAGAGCGCAATAGCTCTGTTGGGACTCATTTCGTCTATTGTGTGGGCCTGTATTTTAGCTAGGTTGTGTTCATGCCCGACCCTTCTCTGAAAACCAGTCCGTTCTGGTTGTATGATGCTCTCCTTCCAGCAGGTTCTTGCTTCATAAGGTGGTGTCGAATTAGCCTCTCGAAAATCTTGCTGGGTGCGAGAGGAGGCTGATCGGACGATAGTTCTCAGCTGAGTAACGGTACTACGATCGCTTGTTTCCATGCGGTAGGAAAGTATTCGAAGACAAGAGTTGAAGATGTTCAGTTGAAAGGCTTTACCCTTATCTTCAGCAGTACGTACGCAACTTCATCCAGTCCAGACGCTTTGTTTTCTTTGGTGCGCCGTAGCGTCGACTCCAGCTGGTTGAAGGTAAAGAAGACGGGTTCATCGTTGGGACTGGGCAGTGGTCCTTCCGGTATTGGTGGTGCATTTCTCGTCCGCTCAGCATCCCTCGCTTCATAGCTTTCGGTCAGGAGTTTAGCCTGTTCCTTAGGTGTCAGCAGCTCAGTCAGGTGGACAGTCTTCTTGTTAACGAATGGTTAGGAGCAGTCTCCAGAACTGGCGGTGGTCATCATGTGTCCTCCGGAGCTGCTCATGCCAAAGTGAGGTCATCCAGTCACGCATGAGGCTGGATATCTGTCGGGTCATCCCATTGATGGCCGGTTTCAAGCTGTAATCACGCGTGGGCTGAAATATTTTCCTCAGACTGAATATTTTCCTCTGGCTGATCAGGGCGAAGATGTGACATGGTGGTTTCCTGACGGCGTTGGGCTGCGGGGCGAACCTAGGTATGTTCTGATTGGCTGAGTCTTGGGCAGTAGTGGTGACGACATCCACCGCCTCGTTCACCTCTTCTACCGCTTCTGGAAGAGGCCTCTGGTGTTAAAATTCATGACGAGATGATTAATCATGATGCTTCTTCGTCATAGCATCAAGCATGCGGTCAACTATATCCATCAGCTTGCCCATTCTTGTCAGCATCGTCATTACCAGAGAAGTCAGTCCGCCATGTCTTGACGCTATTTTGGGACAGTGTGGCCACTTTTTTTGTGGGAATATTGGTTTATTTTTTATATTAATTTGAAGTTACAAGGAACACATTGATATATAATTTATAGGGATGTGGGAGAGTAAATTTCACGGTAGTGGGTTCTGGCCCACCACCAAGATACTTCGCAAAAGCCTAAAGCCTTTTTTTTCTATGGATTGTAGCGCCAAAACGAATCTAAAGATCTTAATGAATTTTTTTTCTTTCAATAAACTTTTTAAATTTATATAGATAATATACATTCGGCAAAAAAATAAAAACTGGAAAAAGTTACGATGAAAGCTAAATTTTATTTACTAACTCAAGAAGTATGACTGATTCATTACAGATTTATTTAGAAGATAATTAGATGGGGACGGCAATGTACGCCTTGCCGGTTTGCGGTAGAACAACAAATCCGCTCGCGTGTTTAGATTTATTGGGTACCAGCTCACAAATATCGGGGAAAAAATGGAAGAAATTACTTTGACGACATATCATTTATAAATTGTCAGGTACTTCCGCACAGAAAACAAATAACAAATGTAATTTTTAGTGACTAATTTTTATTATTTAAAATATAATTTACTGTTTAGCCATAATCAACTTAATTATCTTTAATGCAGTTGATCTTTGAATTATGTTTTTTTTCTCTACTCTCTACCATAGTCTGTAAATGATCTATTAGTTTCGACTGCTGCCTGATTGTTTCCTCCAACTTGACCTTCTCATCGCAGAGCCGCTTCAGCCTGTCTTCGGATCCTTTCAGATGGTCGGCGTACTCCATCTCCAGCGAGCTCTTTTCTATTTTGAACTTCTCCACAAGACCGTTAATGGAGTCGTTCAACAGTCCGATTTGTTCTTCTTTCGTCGACATTTCCTTAAACGCCTCGTAAAGCCTACTTTTGTAACAGTTCAGTATTTCTATTTGAGTACTATCTTCATCTTCTTCCTTTTGACTTGTTTCTGGAGATGTTTCCTGCTTCAACCGGTTTTCCAGTTCGACCACTTTTTCTTCGAGGTACTCATTCCTCAATTTTAATGCACTGTAACAATGCTTAGTTTCCCTCAATTCACTTATTAAATTAAACCTCTCTTGTTTGATTAGGGATAATATTTTGTCATACTGAGTCAATTCAAGTTCGCAAGACTTTAGCGACGATTTTAGTAAAGTAACCCGATCCGTCAAGGTTTTTATTTTGTCTTGTAACATTACATTTTCTCTTTTTAAAAAAAAGTAGTTTTCTTCTAATGAGAGAAAATTGTCTTCTTTTGAAGTTCCAGAAGCTGTATCAATTAAATTCGATCTTAAATCGCAAATTGGGATGACAGTACTTAATGATTCAGGTGGTAATACATCATCATCTTTACTAACTGTGGGATCATTCAAAAATGAAGCATTCGTAGAGCTGATATTCGAAATGTTATCAGGACCAATATAAGAATCTGAAATCCCTAAACTGAAAACTGAGCTTTTTGGTAGAATAGTGCCTAGCCCATCGCTGCTGTCATTATCAATGATGTCTTCTATAGCACTGTTGATCCTTTTGATAATATTTTTCACATCGGGTAGTGAAACTTCTTCTACACAGGGCTCATCTTGTTTATCGCATTTTAATTGGCTTATAGTTGACTTTAATTCGGAAATTTCTTCTGATTTTAATGCGATTAATTGTTGCAAAGACATCACCTGCTCTTTAAGCACGAAATTTTCTTCTTCAAGAAGTCTGTAGCTTACATCTTGTTTTTCAACATCAGCCTTAGAAGCTTGACCATAAATCGGAGCTTCGGAATAGGTAAAATTAATAATTTGATCTAAAAGGGTCTTACACTCGTTTCTGAAGGCTCCTGGTTCATCTAAATCCCTCAAATCTTGCCAAGAGTTGCAATGCCTCCTGAACATAGTTAGTTATCGGTGGTTTTTATAATTTGAACCTTTAACACCAAACAGTCAGTAAGCTTTTAGAAATCAGTACGGAATTCCATTTAAATGAGGTTATGCCATAAAACAACAAAAGAAAGTTCTCTGCTGAATAAATTCTCATTGAAGAAATTTGTTTTTGTTTATGTCTATGAGACAAAAGGTTATTTTGAAAAGGTTAAAAAGTATAAACAACAAAGTTTTTCACAAACATTTTTTTTTATTTTTTAAATTTTTAATTTGGAATTTGTCAGCTGTTACCTTATGATAAAATATAATTTGCCTACTGAAGTGAAAAAAATATTTGAAAGATTGTTTTCAATGATTAATGAAGAATTCGTTTTAAAGTAAATATTCCCAACAAACATAATAAAACTGAGAAAGTTAACAGATTTGACATACAATACCTTTAAGAAGGAACAAACAAACAAAAATAAACAGCATACATAATAATTCATTTTGTCAGATATGTAAATACTTTTTAAATTTTACTTTACCTACGAAGATTTAGTTTATATTTAAGGTTCGATCTCGATGGAAAATAAATTACTCATTCTGTTACTGACCCATGGAATGAAACTCGGGCTTCCTATACGGACAACGATATGTCGTTAACAGTAATGTAAATCGTTTTGCTGCTCAGTTGGAAGTAAAGATAGGCAAATGGTTCGAGAATTGAATCAAAGAGTCGATTCCTCTGGCAAAATCTTACTCTCAAGTGATTCTCGATGACGCCGTTTGAACGCTCTCACAGTTTTTCACTGATATTGCTTTCTGGATTGATTTGTTTACATTCGGATCTACTCTTAAATGATTACTTCACATTTTAGTCATGTACGAGTATAACCTATGCTTATTTACATTACTATTATTTATTTATTTACTTTTTGGTTTATTTATATATGTATACAGTTTTTTTACTCTTGTACTTTTATTTTTAATTAATTATTATTTTGTAAATATTTCATTTAATGTATGGCCACATTGGCATGTTTTATTTATTTTATATTTATAATTTCTTCTGAAAAGTTAGGTTATAATGGTTTAAAACTAAGCACGATTCTTATGGAAAACCAACATTCATTGCCGTAAACAAAATGCAATTTGACTAAATCAAGGTTTCTCGTGATAAGTCAGTACTTTTATCATTTTATCTCCACATATATTATTACAGTAAGGCTCGAAATTGGTTTTGTACCAAATATAAGCTCCTGTCATGCTCAAATACCATGAATGGGGTACCGTTGGATTCAGAATTTCACGGGGGGTTAGCGAATCGTATTCTACACATTTTTTTTTTTTTTTTCTAAAATAAATAAAGTCGATACAAACATTTTGCTAGGCTTCAATACTAGAACGGTGGTAGGTCTGAAGATCGATGCGGAACAAATTGGATCTTAAAGATTTTGATGCATACAGCAAGACCCGGATAGTTGCTCCGGAACTATCGGACCTGCGTTTTTAAGCCCAAAAACGTATTATTTTCGAGATAACGCAAGGTGTAGGTTTCGCATTCACACAACCTTACGTTAATTGTAGTACTGCCATTGAATACATGTCTCATTTCGTCGAATTTGAGATCTCTATTATCGATAGAGGAGGAGTTTATATTATTTATCGATGGCATTTTTGATCGGAAAGCCATATCATCGTTAATTCGTCACCAAATCTCAAGATTGAGCCACCAATTTCGAAGGCTTCCTTCTCCTTCAGGCGAGCAAAATAGTCCAATCACCCCGAAAATTCATGCAAACAAGTTATGAAAGAATACAAACTTTATTTGAGAATAACTAGAAAATTACACACTTTCCCCTCGGTTATGCCCATGATTATATAAAAGATTACTAAATTCCCTACAAAAGGAAAAAAAAAATCATCGAAATCGGACAATTTGTAGCAAAGATACAGCTTATTGAAATTTGTAAACATGTTGGCTCCAAACAAAAATAAAGATTTACATTAATTTTTGTTTCCTTTTTCGATTATATTTATCAATAAAGTAACAATTGATTTCTTGATCTTTTGATGCGTTGTATTATTTTATTTTTTTATTAATTTGGCATTTGATAACAATATGCTGTGCGAATATTTCGCACGGGCCAGCTAGTTTGTTATTATTCATATTTAATTATAACTTCTTATGAGCGTACATAAGTACACTTCTTGTTTTTCTTATTACTTGATAATGATTTAAAAGTTTACGTGACACTTCCCCTAACTGAACTTTTAAACTTGGGTGTTTTTACTCTGTTTCCAAATGGGTGCCGAGTAGGGGGTTTCATGGTGCACGTTGAGCCATCAAAATTTTTGAGGGGACACATTTTTACGGTATTTTGAATATTTGAGGGAGGTGCATTCTGAAGGAAGTTTCAAACCAAGGGACAAGGGAGAAACATGGACCACAAGAAGGGTAACTTTACCTACAGTTGCGGTCTATAAATTGCATTACCCAGTAAAAATTTTATTTGATTTATCTGCAAGATCTCTGGATATTTTTTGTCATTATAAAATGATATTCTTAAAACAATCGCACCATTAAGCGGTCAAATGTTTCGTTTTTTTTTTCTCTCCTCCCAGTTTCTTTCTTTCACTCCATAGTGATTTTTTTTCTTTCTAAACCATGACTACCATTGATTGGTAGTATCTTATACTTGTTACTATATTTTGTAAAAATTCCTGTACTTCATGTAACGTCACAATTTTAGAATTATTTGACGAGGACAGTTTTTGATACAGGTCAGAATGAGATCCCTGTATTTCCACATTGTTTTAAGTTTCAATTAAACTCTGACCAAGTTAAATTATTAAAACAATTACGTTTCATTCATTTCTGTTTCAACTCCACATCTCTCTTCCCCTATGCGCATTCCAAGTTGTAAAAAAACATTACCGTAAGACAAGGTAAGAAGAATATACAGGTTCGCTCACTCACAGCGAAAATGTTAGGGAGGAATTGAGCTGTGACGTAGGCCCTAGACCACTAGTTCCCCTCCTGCATTTGTTTCTGAACTTTTTAAGATTGTTATTTTTTTTCAATCTTATTTATTGAAAAATATTACAATCTATCTCAAGGATATTTATAAAAGTGTTCACAGATCACATTCACACTCTATGTACATTAAATAAAATAAATTATACAGAAAAATAATACATATACAATAAATAAGAATAAAATAACCTAAAAATAAATTAATAAAAAGAATACATACATACCTATGTACAATATTTACAATCTGGTGAGAGAACTCCAAACCAGACTTGTTGAGGGAAAAGCATGGCTCCAGGAGATCCCGGCACTTCTCTCTCAACCGCGTCACTGGGGCTAAACCCAGGGGAGATTGAGCAAGAGTCCTTAAGCCACATACACTCATGAAGATTGTTATTTATAGCAAAATATTTAATAAATACGTAAACATATAATAAGTTAATAATTTATTTTTGATAATAAATTTAAATAAAAAAAGAGAGAAAGATTTATTATAATTTTGTTTATTTTCAAGCAATTAAAATGTAATTTACCAAAGGTTGATAAATAACAAGCAGGGCTCGGATTTTAAAGATTTATTCCTTCTTTCTGTTTAAGGAAAAACTCTCAAAAAAAAAGACGTCAAAAGTTTTATGCCGACCTTGGGTAGTAGATTTACAACAAAAAATCCAATAGAATCTTTTTTGATCTATTTTTCAATATTGCACTAAAGATCTTTTTTCAATTTTCCACCAAATAGAATTTGTTTTGTAATTTTAAACAAAAAATATCACTTTTGGAGTTTTTTTTGAGTTTGATTCAATTGAATATATTCACAAATTATTATGTATACTGCTAAACTAAATATCTAATTATATGAATTTAATTTAAAAAATCTGGTGTGTCCACTCACACAAAATTTTAGAGAAGTATATATCTTTACATATTTCCATCAAGAAAAAAAAATTGAATTAGATTTATTTTCATGAAAATTGATGAAAGAAAAGATTGTTGAGTACGATTTATTTGATAAACTAAAGCAATGTAAACCGGCATAAGGTAGATCAGTGTAACCATTTCAATACTTTCTAATAAAACTGATCAAAACTTAACGCAGTACTTTCCATACCTAGTATAGGTAGGAAAGTAATAAGTTAAAAAAATGTGTAAAAAATAGAATAAGCTGTATCATCGCTAATACTGGTTCGATTCCGTGATTTATTTTTGTTTTGTTGTTAATTTTATTACTTTTCAAAAGTTTTATTATAAATTTTACGGTATAATATAAACTTAGGGAGTTAGGCCCCATAACATTTTTGTTTTTTTATAACTTTTTTCCAGATTTTTTTCGGGAATTTAGTCCATGTACGAAAATTGAAAGGACAATCATTAGAACATTGTAGGAATGTTTCATCGAAATCGTTAGAGCCGTTTTCGCGCTACAGTTTATAGAAAAACATGTTTCTAATTTATTGCGCATGGAGCACCCAATTTGTGTCACAGGTATCAGGTATAAACCCTACAAAATAAAAAATCTGGTGCGCGCAACACACCACTTTCACTTACCACTCAACTTTAAATAGAAATTGTTTTCTGGCCATGTTGGGCTATTATATAATTTTTGAATTGCTTTTTTAACTTAGCGAAAGCTAAAAAATTACAGCTAACAAATCATAAACACCATAATAACAAAAGTATTATTAATTATATCATCGGTTGATTATGGATTGTACGATCTGTTGATTATGGATTGCACGATCCGTTGATTATGGATTGCACGATCTGTTGATTATGGATTGTACGACTCTTAGTTATTAAATTGTTATTTTCCACTGCAAAGTTTACTAAACCGGAATTAAGAGATTTACATTGTCTGTCATAGACAGATCAAAAGTTGCCACACTAATTGTAAGTTAATACTGTTGGAATTTCATCAAACTATTCACTAATTTAATTTTCTAAAAGGTTACATGATGGTTTTTCGTAATAAATGGACGATAGAACCTAAATATTTAAATATAGTATCAGATCTAGAGTTATTAAACTACAGTAAATATATTTAAGGTCATAAACGTATCTATGAAATATTTTTTTTATTTCACTTCTTCTTTCACACAAGTACAATGAAATCGTATTGGGTGGAATAAGGGAAGATTCATCAAATTATTCACGAATTTAATTTTCTAAAAAGTACTACTTGTAAGACTAGTATTTTCGGAGATTCATTTTCGACCTGGATAAGCATTTTTATTTTTTTCTCCTTTGCCCAATTATCAAATTCTTTCAAAAGTTATATTTACCATTTT